CCAAAAGCAATTGGTTGAAAGTTGGGAAGGAACGGTGTTGCAACCCATCCAACATGACTTAGTCCCATTTTGGGCCCTCTTGGCTTCCCGTCTGGTGCCGCGCTGCCCGTTGCAACCCATCCAAAAGCGAACATTTTCTCCCCCCCCCCCCCCCCAAGTTTACAGCAGTTCAGTTGACACGTTCTCACGCCCTCCTCACAGCGGGGCCCAAGCGAGGCTACTACGGAGGCAACGAGGTCATCGACAAGGTGGAGAACCTGTGCAAGGAGCGCGCTCTGAAGGCATTCGGCCTGGATGAGACGCTCGGAAGGGGGAAAGTTCAATCGCAAGTGACCACCCCCCAAAACCCACCCCCTTCCAAGGTCAAACAAGGCCTTGGCACCGGGCAACCCCCCAACCCCCCCAACTCCCAAGACCCCGAGCCCCTAACAAACCAAAGCACCAGAACTTCGACCACCCCCCAGCCCCCGACCCAAACGTACCTTCCAAGGAAGGTCTGGGGCGTCAACGTCCAGCCCTACAGCGGCAGCCCGGCCAACTTCGCGGTCTACACGGCCCTTCTGCCGCCCCACGCCCGGGTCATGGGCCTGGACTTGCCCTCCGGTGGCCACCTCACCCACGGGCCACGCGGTCCAAGCCAAGGGCCGAAGGGCGATCTTTTTGGTTGTGTTGCTTGTGGTGTCTTGGTGTTTTTGTTGGTTGTGTAGCTTTGTCCGGAGGTGTTTTTTTCTTTCTGGAGGTGTCTCCTTCTTTGTTTCTTTTTTTGCTTGTGTCTGTGTGTGTCCGTCTCTGTCTCTGTCTCTGTGTGTTTCTGTGTCCGCGTGTGTGTTTGCAACCGTCTCTGTCTCTTTCCCTCTCTCTCTCTCTCTCTCTGTTTTGTGTGTTTGTTTGTGTGTGTGTGTCCGGTTGTTTTGGGGGGAGGCTTGTGCTTGTTGGAGGTGGTATCCTTTTAGAGATTTGCTTTCAAGGGAAACCAACAAGAAACCAGCTCTTGAAGGTCCTCCCGATTTTGACACATACCCTGAAACAAATGCATCAGCAGGCATTTTTGTCAAAAGTGAGTTGAACCAATTCCTCAGTTCGGGGGGTTGTCTTTGGGTTGTCCAAGACTATCAAATCAGAGGACACCTATCTGAGAGTCAGCCATTTGGAGCTTAAACTTGAGTTTGCTTCTAAATAACGTATGGGACCCAGACAAGAAGAGAACCTAATTGGCCTAGGGATGGTGGTTGGCCCAACAGAATGGGCCGACCAAGTCAAGGTGCCCGAAATTCCTCTGGGTATGCAGTGACATTTTTGGGGGGAAGGCAAGTGCAAAGACTCAAGGCCGCTGCGCTGGTTGCCTCTGGCTTGTCTCTTTGAGTCATGTGCAGGCAAGCTCCTTCCCCCAGTAAGCGGTGGCTTCTGGGCTGAACCCCTTCTGGGCCGAACCCTCGCTTTTTTTTTCTACGGGACTTGTGCCTGGGTTAGCAACCCAATTTTCAGGGGGCTCAGTTTTTTTTGGGTACACCTTTCGGGCTAGTTGAACGGGACATTCACGGGACACTACAAGTTTGGGGGGTTCCGTTATTGTTTAACGCAAACAGTAACTGGGTCTTTTTCGACCGTTTGCTCAGGTCTCGTTATTTTCTCCATCAACCCACATTTTGTTAAGACCTTTGCTCAGGCCCGTTTTTGTTTCAGCATCCCAGCGTCTGTTTTTTGGTCTCGCACAACTCGTGAAGTGACTCAGCTATGACTCAGCCATGACTCAGGTACATAGGTGTCCTTTTTGGTTGTTTGGGTCAACAAATCGATGGCGATTCCTGGTTTACCTGGTGTTTTTTCATCATCTTCCGGGGAAACCCATATCTATTTTGGGCCAAACAAAAATGGCCCTGGTTCACCTGGTGGCTTTCGTCAACCGGGGAAACCCAGCTATTTCCCCCTTTAAAGGCAGAATGACTCAGGTACTACACCGCCAAGAAGAAGATCTCGGCCACCTCCATCTACTTCGAGTCCTTGCCCTACCGCGTGCACCCGGAGACCGGGCTCATCGACTTCGAGGAGCACCGAAAAACGAAGCCACGAAGCCACGAAGCGACGTAGGCAGCTGCCCGAAACACACCTGGCTTCGTGGGGCGCAGTGCCAAGTGAAACCCAAAAAGAAGAACGGACGCCGGACTTACACCCAGAAAGGTACTACTAATGTGGGTAAGGGGCACTAGATACATGGAATTCCCTGCCCTCTGTTTTTTGTTTTTGCGGGTCCCCCAGATTTGGAATCACCCCCTAAACAGAAATTGTTCCCTTTCTCTACCAGGCTTCCCTCGATTTCCCTTTCTGCTGATTTTACACTTTCGGGTGATGAGTAAGGGGAGAAACCAACAGGTAACCTTCTGGTTTTCCAGCACTCCCAAAAAGTCGAAGCCCCAAATCCATTTTTAAGCTGAAGCCGCTGCCTGGATTCAGCCACCCAACCCTGGCCCCCTGCGACCTAAGATGCCGCCAGGAGCTTCGGAAGTCTGCCCTGGTCTTCCGCCCGGCCATGATCTTGTGCGGGGCCTCCGCCTACCCCCGGGTCATCGACTTCGGGAAGTTCCGGGCGATCGCCGACGAGGCCTCGTGCGAGTCGGCGAGTGTGCCAGTGGCAAGAGCACGAGGGGATGGAGGAAAAACCCATGGTGGGTATGTGTCATGGCTTTGGTGCATTTTGCTTGGAGGTTGGGACTTCAACTCTTCGCCAACTAATGGGTTTTCCGTATTAAACCACTAAAGTCAAACATTTAGCAGGGGAGCAGAAAGCAACCGAGATAGGGGATTTCCCCCGAAAACTGGTTTGCCATTTGTTGGTAAAGCTTCCTTCTCAAACCACCTCAATAAGATTTCGGATGGAGGAAAAATAGGTGGGCCACTTGCTCAAAGCCCGGGTAGGTGGAGGTTACATAAGGATGAACCCCAGCCAGAAGTAGTTTCGGATATCCGCCTCTAACTTGTTTTACATGGTTTTGGGCAGACCATTTTGATACCAGGTTTGGATTGTGACTCATGTGGGTATCTGGCAAAGCCCAACTGGCTTGCCTTTTTGTCGCTTTTCAAACGGGACGAATGGGATGGTTGTGACATGTGACGTGTTTGTTGTTGAGGCTCGGTACCCTTTTTGGGGTTGGTTTAAAGGAAAACCAGGCGGATGTCCAACATTTTGGGAGTGGCCACATATACATGATGACATCGAATATCTAGCTGGGGTTGAAGATTGGATTTGCCCCAGATATGGAGCAGAAATCCCCAGAAAGCATCAGGTACCCCCTAGCAACCACCAGAAACCACAAGAATACCCTTACTAACCTCCGCCTCAACACCCTCTACAAACAACTGGAAACCCCCTACAAACACAAAATTCCGCCAGAGACCCCCAGAAACCCCCAGAACCCCCCTAGAAGCCCGCTCAGAACCCCGGAAACCACTAAAAAGCTCAAGAAAACCTCTCAACACCCTTTTGCCCTTTTTTTGGTTTTTGGGTTCCCCTACTAAAATAGATGTCCTGAAAAAAGTTGGTACCCTTTTTCTATCCTCTCAAATCTGGAGGACCTAGAAAAACTCCCCGACAACCACTAGGTGGGCGCCATCCTCATGGCGGACATCGCGCACATCAGTGGCCTCGTGGCCACGGGCGAGCACCCCTCGCCCTTCGAGGCCTGCGATGTGGTGACCACCACCACCCACAAGCGCCTTGGCTTCGACCGAACGCAGCCTGGCCATGGCTCAAAACGGTTAAACGGGATCCCATTTTAGGGTTTTCGGTGAATTCACCACCCATTTTAGAACCTCTTTTAGTGGGGGTTGGGATGTTCACTGGGGGTACAGGGTTTTGCCTAGGGGAGGGGTAGCCTAGGGGAGCCAGGGGAGGGGTAGCCTAGGGAGGGGTAGCTTAGGAGCCGAGGGAGGGTAGCCAGGGAGGGGCTCCACAAAGGGCGTCCGAGCTTCATTTTGGAGGGGGAAAAACAAAAATGACAACACAACGCCCACACGAAATCGCACCCAATTTCCCTCGAGCTAGGGGGTGTCGTTTTGTTTTTGGCGGGTACCCCCTTTTTGGGAGGGTTTCAAAGGGAGAACAAAAGGAACAACACCAGTTCGGGGACCCCCAAAAAGAGACACGCCCATCTTGAACCTCCAAAAGTGGCTTTCCATGGAAACTACCAGCAAATTGCAACTTGTGAAGGGGACGTCCAGCCCGGTGCATGAATCTCAATGACCCCTTTGGGTGGCTTTAAACCTCGTGAACATCCCCTTGTCAGCCCACATCATATCTTGCATCACCTTCCGATTTTCAACCAAGAAAAGAGAACAGGCTAGGAGTTAGGATGTGGCAAGGAGAATGAAGGAGCAGGAAAGCGAATTATTTTGGAGAAGTGACGACAGGAAGCTATGGCCGAAAAGGGGGGCAGGCCACGCATGACTCACTTCTTTTCTCGCCTATCTATCCGCTATGGCCAATAGGCTTGGACGTGGACTTTTCCCGGCACCCCTTCTGTGCTCCCAATGTCAGCAGCTGCAAGGTTCCGACTGTTGATGGGTGGCGGCTGAGTACTCCGTGGATATCATCACTTTGAACGGCGTTTTCCGTCGAAAGGTCAAAATTGCAATTGTGTGCTACAGGATGAAAGATCGATGCTCATCCCCAAGTCATATCCATGCAGAGGCCACAAAGGAACATACCCAGAAAATACCAAGGATGATAAAGGCCGCCATGTGTGCGACTAAGATGACCCCCCCCCCCACTGAAGGCCACTTAGTTGCGCAGCCTGAAGGGAGCTCAAATAAGATGCCAACACCAGGAAACCAAGGAGCAGCCTGGGATCAGAGGGTTCTTCAATCCGAAAGCGTCTCAATTTGGGTATCCAACAAGGTGCCCTTATGGTTCCCCTCTTGAAGGCACAGTTTTAGGGTCTCTTTGAAAGATGCCGCCACTTTTTGCACCTCTTGGGCCAATTTGAAGTGAGTTTCCTTTGGATGATTTTGGTGGTTGTTTTAAGCGCATCAGCTTGCCGTTGTGAAGAGAGCTTTTCTTGGGGCAGACATTGAATCCTATTTCTGCTCAAGTGTTTTTTTTCAGTAGTTTATCACCTTTGGGACACACCAATTCAAAATGAGAAAACCAGCCTGCTTTGGGGTGATGTTTCGGGGGAACTATGAGAAGCCCGCACCACGATGTTTGCTCCGTTTTTGTTCCTTGTTTCTCTTGTGTTGTTCCTATTTGATTTTGTTTGATTTGATTTGCGTTGTTCTTGTGACACGTTGTAGGTTCCGATTTGCCTGGTGTCGTTGTTGGCGGAAACCAACCCAACAGAATAATAAGCTAGCTCTCCCTGGAAACGCCATGTTTCCCTCCTTTGTGGAAAGGTTTCCTCGCGAGAGCATTCTGAAGATCTCAAACAAAGTCCTTTGGTTCTGGGGTGTTTGCATCCCTTACCTTCCGTGCCTTTTCTGCTTTGGCCTCCCTTTTTCCGGCTTCCGTGTTTCGGGTCTTTCGGCACGTCCGTCCAAAGACGGGCTCGCGGGCGGTTGCCGGTTGCCATGGCTGCAGGTCCCTGCGTGGCCCTCGGGCCGGGATGATCTTCTTCAAGTACTCGGCGCCTGGGCCACTTCCGGGGGACGGAACCAGAGGAAAACGCGAGAGGGAACCCGAGGAAACTCAGAACTACAGAGGTGAGCAAGCCTTATGATAGAAGCACTGGGTAGGCCGAAACGAAGCATTGCCTCTCAAGGATGCAGATGGCACTGAGGTTACGAGGCTTGCCCAGTAGAGGAGCTCAGAAGTCCATCCAGTTATTACCCTTACGCTTGTTTCATCATGTCCAGGGTACTCCAGTAGTCAAAGTGGAGGTGGTGGTAGTGGTAGTTGTAAAATTGGTCGCGGTCGAACTCTTGTTCAGCCACGGTATCCGTGGCTGAGGCAGAAAAGCTAGAAGTCCGATTCTGATAGGTGCCACCACTATCCTGAGTTTCATTCTGAGATTCTGTCCGACAAAGTCCTCGTGCAGTCTACGTTCGTCTATGTGTGATGTGCTTGGGGGGTCACACGTCAACACGGCTTGGCATCGGCTCTCACAGAAGTGAAGCAGGGGTGGGGTTTGCTCTACCTTAACATTTCAATTTTTTTTGACAACAAACGGGACAGGTTGTTAGCTCCCTGTCTAAACATGGGTTGGGCCAAACGTCCTCGTTTTTTCTTTTCTGAGTTGGGCCAAGGGTCTTTTTTTGGTCTCAGGCCGGGTTTCTGGGGGCCTTCCAGCCTTCGGCCTCACTCGGTTGGCAAGGAGAAGATCCCGGACATCAAGGAGCGCATCGACATGGCGGTCTTCCCCGCCCTGCAGGGCGCGCGCGCGGATTTTCGGGGAGTCTTACGGGTCGGGGGAGGGGGCAAGACGTGGTGGGTTGGAACGGAGCGGCTTTTGGACCACGAGGGTGGCAGGATGCAAAAACTGAGTTGGGGCTGAAAGGACCACAGGTGATGGGCAAACCCAGCTTCTTCGTTTTTCAGAAATTGTAGGCAAAGGGATGAGTCGACCCAAAAGTTGAGAAGATCGTCGCAAAGCCAAAACTCTACTTGACATGTCAGCAGGTCACCCGTCCACACTGGCTTTGTCAAATATGTGTCATGTTGGCCAACTGAACTATTGAGTCGAAGGTGCTTTTAACCTTATTACATGTGGAGCGTCCCCCAGCCCCCATCCATAAGGGGACGCTCTCCACGTATGTTCCGGTGAAACCAACTGACTGGCCATCCACACGTCAACCCCCGCGGGGCCTCGAGCCGAAGCCGCCGAAGCCTTTGGAACTTCGGAAGGCGGGCCCCACAACCACCAGATCGGGGGTCTGGCAGCGCAGCTGCTGGAGGTGGATAGCGACATGTTCAAGACCTACGCCAAGCGCTATGTCCAAAATGATACGCTTGGGGGTTTCTTTGAGTTTGTACCGCCTATGCCACAGTGGCTGAGTGGCTTGGTTTTGTTATCGAGTTTGTACCGCCTACCGCCTATGGGCCAACTCTGTTCGTGGGTGTTTCTTGGCTTCCTTTTAGTTTCTTAACTTGAGAAGCATAAGACGACAAAGGGGGCACCTCGCGATCTGGGTGCTCCTCCATAAGCATGTAAACCTACACCAGGCAGCCAACAGGAATCGTCCCTGAAATGCTTTTGGTTTCCCTTGGAATATACTGACGAAGAGAGGGGTTCCTCTTCTTAAGCAATTTTCGGTTCTTTATTTTGGTGTAGACCAAGTGTGGTTAGAGTCAGACAAATGCTTGGAGAAGCCCAACAGTTGGAGGTGTCAAAGGCTGACTGGTTCACAAAGCCTATGGCAATGTTTGATGTTTCTTGTGGTTGACACACCCAGAATATCGGTTCTCAGTTGTTCAGTGGCTCCAACTATTTTTCCCTTTTTGCTTGGTGGCTGCCCCACTAAAAATGCTCCAAGCCCCAAAACGGGTTCCCTTTTTTCCGGGCTCACTGAACAACTGAGGGTTGGATGGGGGCTTCAAGGTTTCGGAGAGCTCCGATTCAAAGCTCCAGTGAAAGCGTTTGTTAAAGGTGCCCAAATCCCAACGGCCACTGCAGAATGGGTCGAACATTCTGAAGGGACCTCATGATCGCTTTTGCAGTGTTGGGGTGGGTGGGTTTTCTCGAATCTGTTTAGATTTTGAGGAGTAGAAAGTGGCTTTTGGGAGCAGTCTATAGCTAGACTGAGTTACAGGGATACAGCAAGCATAGGGGTCTGTTTTTTTCCCCCGGGACCCCCAACAAATGATGGTTTTCCCTTGATTTCCCGAAAACAAAAAACACATAACACAAGGTACGCCGAAAGAAGCACCCATAAGATCACTTCAATGGGTTGGACTTGAAAGGCCAGAGCTCCACTGAGGCAGGTGAAAGCCAACGCCAAGGCGCTTGCGGAGGCAGGAGCTTCGCGGATTCGATTCGGAGAGTCTGGCATGCAAAAAGTCTCTTGAGGGATGGGAGCCCGTGGGGCACCCACTTATTTCGGTGGTTCCCTTTTTGGGGGGAATGGTTTTTCAGGGAAAACAAAAGGGAAGGCCACCATTTGTAGGGTCCAAACCTCTTGAGGAGCAATACTCTAAGGGTTGATTCCTTTTCCATTCTTTTCAACCATCGTTCTTTTCAAAAGCAGGATGCTTCCTCCAGGTTTTGGGATGGTTTCCTGAAAAGAAGGATCCCTGGAAAGAATGGGGAAGGTACCCCTAGAAGTGTGGCCGATGTCTCTTGGCTAGGGACGCTAGCCCAGGCCCCCAGTGTTTTTTCAGGGTTGGGACGGAGCCTTGAGAAGATATTGGTGGTGGGCCCTTTTTCAATGAAAAGGGGAGAGCCAAAATGGTTCAAACTTTGGCTGGGGGCAGCCCAACCGAACATTTCATGGACTCCTCCCTTTTTCTTCTCAGAAGTCCAGCAAAAACGCAGAGAAGAGCCGGTGTTTGAAACGAGACCCATTTATTCCTAACCCAGGCAAACGCCGCTTTATGACCCAGTGATCTTCGAAAACCACGTAGCAGGCCGAAGGTCGCATGCGACGCAACACAAAGACCTTGTTTCACAAAACCCCACCCCACCCCCCAAACCCCAACCCACCCCACCCCAGCCCCCCCCACCCCACCCCCCACCCCTCCTTCCGTTTTTCTCGGCTCTTCAGTCATCCCACGGGTCCGGACCAACGCGCTTCGGCCATCGGGCCATCGGGCCATCGGGCCATCGAATCGGCCAGGCGCTGATGTCGAAGGACCACAAGCTGGCCTCCGACGGCACGGACAACCACCTGCTGCTCTGGGATCTGCGTCCCCACGGCCTCACCGGATCCAAGGCACGCGAGGGGAATCCGGGAAAGGCTCAGGGGGTACTCCATTTGGCGTTTTCGTTTTGTGAGGACTGGGAGAAACCCCCATGTTGGGTCTGTCTTTGCCCCCTCCCCCCCCCCCCCGAGAAAAAAAAGATAAAAATAAAGGAGAAACACAAAGCATGACTCTTAAATTTCCCTCCAAGGGCAAATCCCAGAGGTACCAAGCCTCCCAAAAAGGACAGAAGTACCCAGAATACGCGTCTCGTTTTTTTTGTGTGTGCCATGCCTTAGGTGGAAAAGGTCTGCGAGGCCGCGTCCATCACGCTGAACCGGAACGCGGTGCACGGGGACGCCAGCGCCCTGTCGCCCGGCGGGGTGCGGGTGGGCACGCCGGCCATGACCACCCGCGGCTGCTCGGAGCAGGACTTCCAGCGCGCCTCGGGCGCGACAAAAGCGGAGGGTCTGCGAGGATCGGAGAAGCCATGGGGGGTGGGTCGGCTTTTTGGGGGGAAAACCGCCAAATGGGCGGTTTTCCGTAAAAGGCCGACACACCAAAAAAGCCGCAGTTTTCTGGGGCCCGGACCCTCTTTTATGTGTTTTCCCGCTATTGTTTTTTTGAAAACCACAAAAGAAGGTACCTGGCAAACAATAATGCGCCCTGGAGCCACTTTGAGCTACCTCCGAGCGGAGAGAGCGGAGCGATATGTTCGGACCGTGGGAGAAAGACAAACGTGTGCTCAGAAGATCATTTGTTTGTATACAATGTATAGTTATATAGGGGACCCCATTGTGGAGGGTTTTACAGGGAAGCCAAAAAGGAAACCACCTACCTGGAGGAGTCAAAGTTGGGGATCCTTTCCCCTGTATTATATCGTCGGTGTCCTTTGGTTTTCCGATAAAATCATCCACAATGGGGTTAAGAACGAAGCATCAGAAGGGTAGACCTTCGTTTCGGTCTGCCTTGTTTTTGTTTAACAGGCTACGTTGGGTTCTTAAGAACACGATGGACAGATACACAAGAAACCCCGCTCTGTTTTCACGGAAGCTGTGAGCTTCAACTTTTGCAAGGGTTCGGCCTCGTTTTTTGCGGCAATAAGAGCATGTCGTAGCTCAGCGGATTCCGGATTGACTGGTTTCTTTTTTGGCCTATCCACTTAAAGCCTGGTTCTGGGCACAACTTGAGCTGGCTTGGGGTCGTTGAACATTTCCATTCGGCCAATCACTTCGATGTATGCAGTTTTTGCAAAGCATCAGGACCAAACCCAAAGGATGTTTGCGCCGCCTAGAAATAACCCTTGAGACATTCGGGGAGTTCCAAGGTTTCCTTTTTGGATGGCTCCCCACAAAGACTCGAATCCAACGGAAATCAATCTAGGCAAGTGCCGTGCTACCTGCATTTGGCCGTGCCCAAAAACGGGGAGCCCCCGCAAAAGAAAGGCTTCCTTTTTGACTTCCCTTGTAAGCAATCCACCGAGGTTCTGCAATTGTACACCCTAAGACACCCTTCTTGACCCCCTCCCATTCTTGGACATGCCCATCACCCGGGCATCCCTTCTTGACATGGGTGTTGGACATGCCCAATGTTGGACATGGTTGCGTTTTCCCACACCCGTTTCCTTTTGAACGAACCAACCTCCCCCTCTTCCCAGCTTCCCCTTGTGACTCGCGTGCGTGCCTCGCGTGAGTCGTGCTGTTGACACGCGTCCAGACGAGGCATCGGCGAGTTCCTGGACCGGTGCTGCCGAATCGCTCTGAAGATCCAGGCGGAGAAGGGCAAGAAGCTCAAGGACCGGGGTGCGGTCAAGGAAAAGACATCTTCGGGGCGTCATCGGGTCTGAGGTTCGAAAACAATGAACAAAATACATAAACTTTAGAGCCTCCGGCTCAGTCCGCCGACATTGTCCTCTCCCTTTTCTCCTGCTTCCTCTCTCCCTTGTCCCCCTGGTGTGTTCTGTCGTCCTCTCTCCCTCCCTCCGCTCCCCATCCTCCCCATCCCCCAAGCCACTCTCTCCCCAATCTCCCTCTCTCGTATGTATGTATGTATGTATGTATGTATGTATGCATGCATGCATGCATGCATGTATATATGTATGTATGTAATGTATGTATGTAATGTATGTATGTATGTATGTATGTATGTATGTATGTATGTATGTATGTATGTATGTATGTAATGTATGTATGTATGTATGTATGTATGTATGTATGTATGTATGTATGTATGTATGTATGTATGTATGTATGTATGTATGTATGTATGTATGTATGTATGTATGTATGTATGTATGTATGTATGTATGTATGTATGTATGTATGTATGTATGTATGTATGTATGTATGTATGTATGTATGTATGTATGTATGTATGTATGTATGTATGTATGTATGTATGTATGTATGTATGTATGTATGTATGTATGTATGTATGTATGTATGTATGTATGTATGTATGTATGTATGTATGTATGTATGTATGTATGTATGTATGTATGTATGTATGTATGTATGTATGTATGTATGTATGTATGTATGTGTGTATGTATGTATGTATGTATGTATGTATGTATGTATGTATGTATGTATGTATGTATGTATGTATGTATGTATGTATGTATGTATGTATGTATGTATGTATGTATGTATGTATGTATGTATGTATGTATGTATGTATGTATGTATGTATGTATGTATGTATGTATGTATGTATGTATGTATGTATGTATGTATGTATGTATGTATGTATGTATGTATGTATGTATGTATGTATGTATGTATGTATGTATGTATGTATGTATGTATGTATGTATGTATGTATGTATGTATGTATGTATGTATGTATGTATGTATGTATGTATGTATGTATGTATGTATGTAATGTATGTATGTATGTATGTATGTATGTATGTATGTATGTATGTATGTATGTATGTATGTATGTATGTATGTATGTATGTATGTATGTATGTATGTATGTATGTATGTATGTATGTATGTATGTATGTATGTATGTATGTATGTATGTATGTATGTATGTATGTATGTATGTATGTATGTATGTATGTATGTATGTATGTATGTAATGTAATGTATGTATGTATGTATGTATGTATGTATGTATGTATGTATGTATGTATGTATGTATGTATGTAATGTATGTGTATGTGTATGTATGTATGTATGTGTATGTGTATGTATGTATGTATGTATGTATGTATGTATGTATGTATGTATGTAATGTATGTATGTATGTATGTATGTATGTATGTATGTATGTATGTATGTATGTATGTATGTATGTATGTATGTATGTATGTATGTATGTATGTATGTATGTATGTAATGTATGTATGTATGTAATGTATGTATGTATGTATGTATGTATGTATGTATGTATGTATGTATGTATGTATGTATGTATGTATGTATGTATGTATGTATGTATGTATGTATGTATGTATGTATGTATGTATGTATGTATGTATGTATGTATGTAATGTAATGTATGTATGTATGTATGTATGTATGTATGTAATGTAATGTAATGTAATGTAATGTAATGTAATGTAATGTAATGTAATGTAATGTAATGTAATGTAATGTAATGTAATGTAATGTAATGTAATGTAATGTAATGTATGTATGTATGTATGTATGTATGTATGTGCAATGTAAACATTGTTTTTCCAGCGTTTTCGCAAAGATGATGTCCAAAAACACAGAGTTTTTCCAGATTTTCGGCAAAAGGATGCAGGAAGCCCAAGCCAGCAAAAAAGCCGGCAGGGGGAATCGAGCCTGGGACCCCTGTTTTGCGACACCGGGTCCCCGAAGACTACGTTTAGTGGAACGTCATCAAATTGCCGCGCGGTCCTTGGGGGGGGGGGGCCCCCCCCCCCACGTATCAGACGTCGGGTGGGGGGGTTAGGGGGGGGGGTTATCCTCTATCCTCTCTTAGGTGTCCGACACGCCGAGCAATGTCGGCGGATATATTTAAGTAATTAACACATATTTCAGGGTGCGCCAAAATAGGGCCTGCGAATCGGACTTCAACCAAGTCCTGTTTTTTCCGGTTGGTTCCGTTTAAAGCCCGTTAACATAAAAATGGTAGCCTCAAGAGTCAAGTGGACCACAGGTTTGTTTTGTGGAGTTGGCCCCCCTCATCTTGGAAAGAGAAAACACACACGTAAACTGAAATCCATCTCGGGTTCCCCTAGTTTGAGACACATAATCCGCATAGTATCTTTCTGCTGAAATGAAGAATCTATCACTACTGGACACATATATGTCAATTTGGTGTTTTTTTGGGGGGAAGGGAGGAGCTCCTCCAGTGATCATGGGGTTGATCAATATGGGGTCAACGCACCAAAAAGGGCTGGCCCCCCCGCCAGCCCGCCCAATGGCGAGCACTGAGGACTTTGAGGCGGCCATTGTGGGCCACAGCGACGTGCTGGCGCTGAAGAAGGATTGATGGAAGTCGGGGTATGTCTCAACAGGGGGCCCGGGGACCCCCTACACACGTGCGGTTTTGTGGCACGAAAACATGGGGGGGGGGGGTCGCAAAATAGGGGCCGAAGATAGCTGGTTTCATGTTGGCTTCTCCTTAACACCCACCAAAAAGGGGTGTCCAAAGAAGATACACGCAAAGAAAACGCGTGGAAGCAAACAATGCAGTGGAAGGGTTCGCGAAATCCACGGCGATTGGCACTAGTTTCCCAGTGTTCATCCCAGATGGGGTTTTGTTCACGAGTGCTTCTTTCGCCCGCTGACAAAGCACAGAGCACGAATCCTATATCTCCTCTTCATGAGTTGCTGGCTGCCAATTTAAAGTGAGTTTGCTTTTGGGATGAGGTGAACGTGTGAACTAGGGAGCCCTGCACAACTGTTTTGCAGGTTGGGCCCTGCCAGAATCTTCGGACCCGGACAAAAGCTCACCTGGCCAGCTCTTCAAGGGAATGCCACTAGAGATGGGTGGTTCGTCTTTCTTTGAGGCTTGGTTCCCTTTAAGGGTTTTAAAGTAGTTTAGTCTGAGACAAGCCCAAATCTCACTCCCCTACCAGATGTAGAGTGAGGGGGGTCCACATCGATGAAAGGATGGGCTTGTGATACCACCCTTGCTGGGTGAAAGGGAAGTCTTGTGTAGCGAGTCACATGTGTCCAGAGGCACGATTTGAATCAAAATGTTGAAGAGAGGAGCTTGGTAGCGCTGAGTCCAACCCTTCCCGAAACTTCTCCCAGGAAGTGGAGGAGTGGGCGGTCAAGTTCGGCTACCCAGGACTCTGAGGTTGACGTTGGCCGCCATTTTGGTTGCGAATTCGCACGCGTCAAGCACTTTGACCCCGACTGTGTCGGAAGGGGTCCGGAGCGCAGCTTTCCGCGTGCAGCTTTCCCGCATCATTTTGCGCCCACAAGACATTGCACCCGCCCCAGGCGGTGATTTTGTCTTCAGGGGCAAGCCCACGATCTGTGGGTGCTTGTGCACCTTAGCTTGACAGCGATGCCCATCTGATCCTGTCAAGTTGTTAGCGATTCCCATGTCCTCGCCAGCAGCGGGCGAGTCTATTCGCCAGATCCTGCCGGAGAGCCAATCCTGGTGACAAAAAAAAGGCAGAGGCTCCGCAAGCGCGGCTGCATGTGGTTGAAGAAAACACCGAAATGTTGCCCCGTTTTCCCTTTTCGGAGGCAATGTCACTTTAAATTAAACTGCCGTCACATTGTCAGTAGAGTTTGCACGTTGTCCGCTTGAGGGTTTTGTTGAAAGACCCACCTTGACTTAAACGGCATTTTTGTTTCCACACTTCGGGGGTTCCCTTTTCTGGAACATAAAACTAAGCAGCACGCTTTGGCGGTCCATTCTTGAACCTGAGGCAAGCTGGTTTCTGTCCAACTAGTTGGTTCGGAAGCTTCAAGGACTAACTCTGAGTTGACAGAAGCTTCGTTGGTCCTCTCTGCGATGAAACTGGCGGACCCCTTTGGCCCGGCCCTTTTGGACGCGACCCGTGTCAATTCACGGACCAAAAACAGGTGTACCGCACTGAGATCGTAGATACCTTGTAGATATAAGCTGCTTGGTTGCCACGTTGGCTGAAACATGCGGGCAAAATGCTGCAAATTGTCACATGGTCCTCAGGCGCGGCGCCCGTCTGGGTTAAGCTTTCTCTCGCTGCAGGGGCTTTGCAGCGCATGGCTGCGTGTAACGCTGAATTCCTGACCCTGAAATCCTTCAACTTAGGGCAAGAGGGCCAGAGACTATCCTTGAACCTGGAAAAAAGGCAAGGCCCTACGCCGGCGGTGCAAACTTGGGACCTTCGTTTGACCAACTCAAACTTGACCCTTTTCCCATTTTGGCCAATCTCAGGTGATGCTGTCAGCGAGCAAGTACATTGGCGGACACTCCGATATGACTGGGGGAGCCTTGGTCACTGGGGACGAAGCCATTGCACAACGGCTTCTTGGCGCGCTAAAGGACCCATTTTTGTTCAACAGACCCCACTTTGCTTGGCTTTCAAACAGCCAACTTATAACTTATGGTTCCTAGTGAGGGAGACATAGTCACGAGTCATAACCCACATAAGGAGTCTTGACTCTGAGGCCAATATATGGGTTGGTCACAATATCCAGTAGTTTGGGGAGATGGGGGACCCACTTATTATTTGCCACAAACTGATTGTTCCACGTTCGTTAGGGTGACCGCGTGAACTTGACCGCAGCTATGGCCCTAAACGAGCCATCGCTGATGTGCCCGTTGCTTCGCCCGGTTGGGCCAGGGATGTCCTTGAAAGATCCACGTTGGAGGGTCTCAACCGCCGAGAAGTAGCCCTTGTACATTTGGGGGTAGTTCCGAACTTGTTGAGGCTCCCCTTTCGGACTTGAAAAGGAAACCAAAAGGAAACTAAGCAGAGAAATGGGATCCCTATTTTCAGACAAATCCCATTTCTCATTGCTTCCCCTTGGTGGGCAAGTGGAACAATTCATCGTGTAACCAAGGAAAACCACCCGAGCCTCCTGTGATTTCCGTCACCAGGTAGGGATGGGCAAGCTGCTCCTCTTCTTGCGCTCGGATTAAAGGGACACCAGAAGGAAAACCACCATTGATGTAGAGTGCCACGATTTTCTCACATCCGATTTGAGGTTTCTGGACATATTTCGCACTCGATGATAATTCGCTGGCGAGTCTGCAGAAGCTCGATGGTGGTTGCCAGCATTATGTTGTATACATAGAGAGCCTGGAAGAACAACACGACTAATGAAATACAAGTGAAAGTCTTGGTACCATAGGTGGCCTTTGGGACAAATACATGGCCCTGGTAAATGAAATGAAACCCATCTAAACCAGTGCCATCCATTTCTAAACAAACTAACCAAAAAGGATACTCTTCTGACCTTGGTGTAAAGGGAAGCCAACAAGGGCTCCCAGTTCAAATCCCTCTTTGACGACCATACCCATATTATTGCTCCCGTACGGGTTTGTCTCAAAGCAGTGGAACACCTGAACAAGGTCGTGTCCTTTGGGCATCCCTTTAAACCAATCCCAAAAATGGCACCCTCAAAACAAGACAGCTCAGCTTTGCACATAGTTTAATGTCCACAAACCACTTCGGGGGGCTACAACTCTTCTGAACTTCTGGGGGATTCCCCATGAGTTTCATCGTCGTTTATATTCAACATCTGGCCGTTTTCCCTGGGTTTCTAGAAAGAAGGATCCCTGGAAAGAATGGGGCAGGTACCACTAAAATATGGACACATTGGTTTGCCTTGCTTGGAGGGAACCCATTGTGGGGTGGTTTGAAAGGGAAACTAAACAGAAACCCGCCATGTAAGGTACCCTTCTAATTCTTCATCCTCATAACTGTATGTCAAAGGGTTGGGTACTGGGAATTCTACAGGACAGCCTATTTACGGTGTTTTGGGGCCACTTCCTGTAGATTTTCCTGGAACCAAGCCCCTTTTGAGTATGGAGCAAGTGGTTCGGTTTCCGGCGTGCGTTTTCTCTAGGCTGGCCGCTCTGGCAAAGAGCGTGGGCGCCATCGCGAGCCCCTTTGAGGCCGAAAGAAATCCGGAGAGAAGTGGTACATGGGTAAACCAAAGGAAAGCAAAACTTGAACATTGATCTGGTCACCAAATCAACCAAAGTGATCTGGTGAAGCCAAAGGAAACCAAACTTCTAGCAACTTGCGGTTGCGGTTTCCCCCTTTCTTGTGCTGATCTTCTGCGGGCTGTTTGGCTTGATGGAAGGCCAGGCTTCATATCGCTCATGCTTTGATTTTCCTTTAAAAGGTTTCTACAGCACATTGGGTTGATCTGCTGGAGAAGGTAAGCCAAAGGAATGCAAGAACGGTTCGTTCACGATGTTTGGAGAACACTGGAACTACTTGAGGGCCCCAGAAGTTTCATGATCTTCTGGCGGCTCGGAACAACCATATGCATTCGAAGTTGCTATGAAATGCAATTCCTACTGTTTGCAAGTCACCAGGACAATGTATCATGCACCTTCACCCGATTGACTGGACCGAAACTTCTCAAAATTCAAGGTCATCCTCTCCTTTGCCTTTGCACAGATGGCTCCAAAGCACTGTGCCTTTAGATCCTGGCTCATACTTAGTCCGCAAGCCAGGTCCAAATAACACTCAGCATTCCCCCAGAAGTTGGCAAGCAGGTTTTGAATTCCTAGACTTTGTTATTAAATGGGTGTGTCTTGGTTTTAGGGGACCTCCCAAAATGCTGGGTTTCCTTAGGGTTTCCCTTGAAAACCAACCAAAGAGAATTTACCAAAAAAGAGACCCAAATCCTATTGGTTCTAAACAAAAAAAGACTCGTAGGTGGACAAGGTCCTCAATGATGTCAACCAGGGATCCATGCCCAATGCCCGTCGTCCCAGAACCTCACCGGCCATAGAAATAAAAAGGCACGTTGGTTGTAGCAGATTATCTTAAAGAGAACCCCCCTTCAACAAAACAGGTATAGTTGATTAGTCACTATATTACCAGTGAAACAGTGAACACCTGGTTTCCCAACAATCAGGGAAGTGCACAAGAGGGTTTCGGCAGACTGCACCATCCTGATGGTCCAAAGAGATATCTTCTCTATTCTTTTCCGGCCTGTTTCAAGCAGAGTTTTAAACACTTGTGTTGGTTTGGGCGGGTGTAAAAGTAAGCGGTGAAAAGAAAGAAAGCTGAGACCCGTTTGGCACACAATCAACTGGTTTCGGGTTCCCCCAAATGCGATCGAGAGAGGCAGCGAAGTACGTGGCAGTCTGCGGCCCGCCCAGTTCTGCCAGGTGCCCGCATGCCGAAAAAGCAAATGGCCCGCCACCAACAATCTCCCACCAGTCACCGAAAAAAGCGTAGCGCAACTCGTTGGCTGCTGGAACTTTTAACGCGGAACCCCAAAGATATTCCAGACCTGCCAGTTGTTTCAAGCTTGTTCCTTTTGGACAGTTTCCCTTTAACAACAACAGAAGTTGGCAAACCACTGGAGGGAAACTTGCCAAGGGGACTTGCCAACCACAAAACAACACACGGCAAGACTGTTTTGCTGATGGAAATCCACGGCGTGTGGTTTTTTTGCTCGGGGAAAACCACGGGGGTTTCTACAATGAGTTGTTTTAATTTGTTTCCTTTCTGGGGAGACCTTCCCCATCCCCCTTTAAAAACGTGGCTTTCCCTTCGCATTGTTGAGGTTCCAGCAAAACAAGTTCCATTTATGTTGCCCCATGGAATCCGCGACGGGTTTCGGCGACAGGCCTACTTGGCGCTACGGGGCATGAAGACCTTGGCCGTCCGCATGGAGAGGCAGATGTCGGGTTTCGTGCCGAGAACAGCTTGGGGTCTTAGATGAAGTATGGGCCAGCACCCCCCAACCACTTTTTTTTTGGCAGTTGTTGGGGGGTGCTGGGGTGTGTATGGCATGGCTTTTGAGCCTGCGTTCTTGGATTTGGTTTTGGTGCGAAGGAAGCCCCAGTTGCAAACCAACCAGGTTGGTACTTGGTGTTCCTTATTTTGACTCATACATATGGACCAGAACCTGAACATGATTTTGTGTGGGCTCCCTTTTTTTTTATTCTCCAAACTTGTTGATGTAACCCGTCCATTTCTTTTAACCCTCAAACCCTGCCTGGGAACCCTCTGCAGAAGCCTTGTTTTTCTAGCCCTCAGAAATCCATTCTTTTCAGCCCCTCACCTTGTTTTTTCACACCGCCTTGTGTTTTTCACTACCCACCTTGTAATTTCTCCCTCGAGCCTGCTGCTTCTCCCTCCCCGGGCCTTGTTTTCCTCACCCTCCGCCAGGGTTAAACTAACGCTTCACCAACCCTAAGCCAAGCAAAAACCCATCCTAAACCCAACCTCAAACAACCCTAGACCCAACCCAAACCAACCCTATAGGCCCTCCCTAAGCCGAACCTAGCCAACCCTGAATCTCTCTAAGCCAACCTTAAGCCAAGCCGCGCGCCAACTTCGCTTGAATCGTCGCTCTTGCTGCGTCAGCATCGCACGCAGCAGCGTCATAGGCATTGCACCAAACTGTTCAAGCAGAGCTGGCAGCGCGCGATATCGAGTTGGAGCGCAAGGGCTTGTTGCTCGTCACGCGTGGCCGGCATCAGTTTCCCGCCAGATGCAAAGCTCAAGCGGGCAGTGCTCATCGCTTGCAGGCGCGTGCGGGATGGCCGCCTGCAGGACTGTCTGAAGGTCACGGCTCGCTTTGTCGCATGTACTTTGAAAAACATGCCAGAAGAAATGCGCTGGCCAGCAGCCTCCTAGCATGCGCCGCTTGGCCCGCTGAGCGTTCGACTGAATTTCATCCGGGAGGCAATGGTGATCACCAGAGATATGTCAGTGAGCAGAAGGGGACTTTATGCTCTTGTAGAGGCTTACTGCACTTTCAAGTGCCGCCGATGGCTGTGCCAGAGGCAGTGAATGGAAACAATACGGCTTGCGTGAAAATGTGAGTCTCAGGTCTGGCAAGTGGTTCATCCCAAGGGATCCGTCTAAGGTCAAAAAAGCAGAGCTTCAAAGAAACACTGGAGCACTTCCCAGTGACTACTTTCTCCTTGCCAGGGCTGGGCACAGGATCAGGGTCACGTTGTCATGCGGCGCGCGGCGCGCGTGCGTGGCGTGTAAGAAACGAGATCTCTTTAAATGAAAGAGATCAATTTAGTGAATGAAGCACAAACGCATCCTCTGTTTTGTTTCGATGCAAGAAGTGTACATCTCCATGTTTTCTTTTTTCCGTTGCTTATGATAGTTAACGTTTCCTAATTTACGAGATACATCACTGGCGTAGCATCACGCTTTGTAACAAAATCAATCTAGTAGAAAAGAATAACCAACATGGAATGGAGCGAAATGGAAAGGAAACAGTCACGAAATAGAAACGTCATGGAACAAACAATATTTGGAACACATGAAAGCTAATGGAAGCACAATTGCAAATGTAATAACAAGAGATAGCAATGGAAACAAGGCATGACAAGGAATTGGAAAGAAATGGAAAGGACGTGAAAAAGAAAGGAGTGGACATTGCGAAACGAGCACTTTCTCGGCCCGGCCTGGCCTTGGGCACTTCTAGCTAGGAATGGAAAGCAATGGAAAGGAAGGGATGGACAGGAATGGACAGGAATAGACAAGACAGGGAGAGAAAGTCACAGAAATGGACAGGAGAGGAAATAGGAAGGAAATATAAGCAAAGGAATAGAATATAAATTTAATCAAAATAAATATGGAAAGGAATGAAACAAATATGGAACGGAAAGGACATGAAACTGAATCTTAAAGAAATGGAAAGGAACCATTTCGCTTCAAAATTATTGACATGGACACTTGCAAAAGGAGCACTTTTCGGCCCGCGCTGGTCTTGGGCACTTCTAGCTAGGAATGGAAAGGAATGAAAATGAGTGGAAAGAAAGATGGACAGGATTGAGCCGGATATGGAAGGAACGCAAAGCACATGAAAAGGAATTTCAAAGAAATGAAATTGACACCTGCTGCCTCACCATTATTGACATTGACAATTGCGAAACGGGCACTTTTTCGGCCCGGGCTGGCCCTGGGCACTTCTTCTAACTAAGAATGAAGGGGGACAAGAAGAAAAAATAGAAAAACAAACAATGACTGATATTTGAGCTAAGTTTTCTAATTAATTAGAAAATATAAAAATGACTGATTTTTCAGCTAATATCATCAACATGTTCATCAACATATTCGTTTTACCATCATATTTTTCATCATTTTCATCATCATTTCTGCGCGCAACACGTTGTGACACATTTGGTATAATCTTCCCTCATACGGGGGGGGATGGTTTTTAAATGAAAATTGATTGGATACCTTCTTTAGGATTTTTCCACCCGGGCAAAAAACTTTCAGTTGCTCTGGTCCCCATCAACAATGGTGGCAAACCAGAATAGGGAAAACACTTTGAGTTATTGTACAACCCCTGATTAATCGGGTGTTAACATGAGCCTGGATTTTCCTGCAGGACGCCCGCAAGCGCAGCGGAGCTGGAGGTCCAGGAGGGCGAGTTGGTGCACGCCAGGGCCCCGCCTCGCACGCCGGACAGTCCTACCAGATGCACTGACCCCACACAGGTCTGGGCCGAGACGGAGAATGGCTGGATTCTTGCTGGGCGTGGCGCTCAGGCTGGGGCATCCATCCTTTTTCCTCTCTTTCTATTTTTGTGCCTATCTACTTGTCGATCTTTCTATTTATCTACCCACCCTTATCTATGTATCTATCTAATTTATCATAATCTACCCTATCCTATCCTGTCCTACCCTATCCATGCCCATGTATCTATCTATCTGCATATCCATCTACATGTCTATCCAATCTATTTATCTATCTATCTATCTCAACCTAATCTAATCTCATCTCATCTAATCTAATGTAATCTAATCTAATCTAATCTAATCTATCTAATCGTTCCATGTTTCTTTGAATTTATCTATCTATCTAACTATCTATCTATGTATCTAATCTACGTATCTATCTATCTATTTATCGATTTATCTATCTGCCCACTTATCTATCTATCTATCTATCTATCGATCTATCTATCTATTTAGCGATCTATCGATTCTTTCCATAGTTCCAACCGATCGATCTATTTATCTATCTATCTATCTGTCTATCTATCTATCTATCTATCTATCTATCTATTTTCCAGTTATCCTTAATGCTATCTATCTATGTATCTATTTAATCTATCCATCTATCTAACCTAAGCTAATCTAACCTAACATATTCCAATCTAATTACATCTAAGTGCCAATCAATCAATCAATCAGTCACTCAGTCAGTCAGTCAGCCAGTTGATTGATCGATCGATCAATCAATCAATCAATCAATCAATCAATCAATCAACCAACATTTATTTGTCTGTGTGTCTCTCTTGATTTCGGTCTACTACCTGTCTATCTATCTATCTATCTATCTGACTATCTATCTGAGACAGAAGCGGCGTGAGATGGAGAGCCGTTGCGAGCAGGCAAGTGCTGCAAAATCCACGCGGAGTGGCTCATGGCCTGCCTTGAAGACATTTGCTTGTTCTCCGCGCTGTGGAGGGGAATGCTGCGCCGGCTGGAAGTGTCAGAAGCCGTCTTCGTCGCCGCACGCTCGCATTTGGCTCACACAGACAAGCGCAGCGCGGCCCGTCGAAAGGCAGAGACGGCGGCTGCTTTTGGCGCTGATAGGACAAAGCTAGCCGATACCCCTTGAGAGCTTCCAAGACATGCACCAGAAGCTGGCCTGCAGAGGGGTATGTAATTGACCCCCCCAAACCCCTGCAAAGCGAAAGCTTCCCTCTGCCGATTTGGTGGATTACACCCAGTTCCCAGTATTGACCCACACTCAGATAGCTGAACATTTGTTCGGAATCCAAAACAAAAAAAGCCTGAATATAGCCATCCAAAACTTCGTGGCCTTGGACTTGACTGTTCAGCGAGGGGATTTGTTTTTGTCATGTCTCGATCCAAAAGTTTGAGCCGGGATCAATGACCGCCAAGTACAGAAGGAGACGCACCCATTCGAGAGCAAGTCAAACATTCAATCCAACCGAACCCGTCACGTCAACCCATTCGAGTGATTTAAAAGTTTGTGGGGTTTGTCGCTGAGGGTTTTCATTCTCCAATGTAAGCACCGGTTTCTGAGGCTGGCCACTGAAATAACACAATTCAATCCTACCGGACTCCAACCTCTTCGAGGTCTCTGAGGTCGTCGAGGTCTTTGAGGTTTGTGCTTGATCCAAAGGTGTGCAGCCAAATCCATATACCGGTGGGTGGTTGGAGGCACATCGTTTGTTAGATCAGCACGAATCTCCCCCTTTTGGTTTTGAATGACATGATCAACAAATATTATTCGGGTGTTTCCAAAAGCCCCCACCCTTCCTGAATGCGGGGACTATTCTAGCGGGAAAGGGCTTGTTTTGACATTAAATGTGGCAGCCAAAAACATCCACCCCTAGGAATATTCTGGGCATGTGTCAAAAGAATTATACCCCCAAACTTGTGGTTTTCCAGTGGTTTCTCCTTGATATGAAGCACAAACAACGCGCACACACTTTTCAGAGAGCCCTGTGCGATTTGGCCGAAGGCAGTGCAGCAATGCGCAGCGGGTGGCGGAATTCCTGGAGAAGCACCCGCAAGTGACTGAGGCGGGAGTTGTATGTTGCCCATTCCTATCCCAGCCCTGGCGAGGATCTAAGCAGGTGGTTTTCGCATCGATGAGGCATCCTTTCCCTGAGTGCCTGGTGTTTATTTGCTTGGGAAGATAAATTTAGTGGCAAATAAATTGTTCAGGCTTGTTTTGGACAATCTTTTCAGGAAGTGAGCTGTTCTTTTGTACAAGGGGTCCTGTCTGTGCATTCCCATGGTGGTAAGAGGTAGGCAACTGGGAAGTGTTACCTCTAGCTTTGCCAAACCGCCAGTAGGGTTTTGCTTACTGAACTGTGGGCCGGGGAACGCCGTGCATGGACCAAAACCAGGGCAAACGTCCGCCCTGGCTAGGGCTTGGGGGATACTACATGTGGTTTCCTGATGTCACTCTGTTTCAAATGCAACTCTCCTTCATGATGTATCGTGGAATCTCAATGCAATTACCTTTGGTATCCTTTGAACAGCTTTCAACGGCCATTTTGGGGTGACCCAGCTCTTTCGACACCCACACTCTCCCCGAACACTGCGGAGAAGATCTGCTTGGTTTTGTCTTCGTCGGTTGATTTGGGCCGAAACCAAGCCAAAGTCGACTTGTGGTGAGTGCAGTCCGTTCCACGATGGCTTCGGCTCAGGAAGGGTCGCTTGGGGCTCGGCATTTGTCGCCTATTCTGCATGGTTCAAGAGAGAAGCCTTAATTGGGATGCATAGCTTCTGCCCAAAGAATGTAAAGAATGGATCACATTTTGACTCATTCTGAATCGAACAACGCCAAGTTTTTTTACCAAAGGCGTCAACAAGTGTATCAACCCCACGTTCCGGATGAGCGATGCATAGATTGGTTCACCCGGTATTTACCAAATTGAAAGAAGCGCTTGAGACAACCCCGGTCGCTTTCCGCAGGTGCACTATCCGGGTCTCACAAGCCATCCGCAGCACGAGCTCTGCATGAGGCCGCGGGAGACAGTCCCTGCCTGGATGTGGAAGTTTCTCCCCGCAAAAACCCTTTTGATCAAGCTTCTATTTTTGGGATGTCCCTTGTCAGGTATGTGCAAGGTTGTATTATGAATTTTATGTGTATGTATATATATATATATGTTTTTTGTTGGGGGAATGCTGTTCGCTGTTTTCCTGGTGGTTGCTTCGAAGTGTGACACTGCGCCGTAGAATCAGAAACACACCACACTGTGCAATCAGAGCCTTGGACAAGATGAAACTTAGAGGAAGCACCTCCCGCCCGTTTTCCCGCCTGGTTTTGCCCGACGAAGAGTTTCTTCCATTTGCTTAAGAATATATTTCCCATTGTTGGTTTTAAAAGGAGTTCATCACTACTTGTTTCTTTTACTCTCTTTTTTTTTCGGGGTCTTAACCAAATGGAAGGTTTGTTTGCGAAGCTATAATCCGCTGATCTTGTGGTTGCTGGTTTAGTTTAGATACAACAGACCCTTCCCTTTGCAACTCTGATTCAGGCCTTGTCTCACCCTTGTTTGCTCTAGCCCCATATGTGGCACCTGCCCCTTATCCAAAGCCCTTGGTTTTGCCTCATGATTCTCATGTTCAAGCTGATGAAGCCTACCCTGCGGAAGAACAAAAAAGAAGAACACGTGCTCTTTTTTGACTTTTTGTTATGTTCCACTGTTGGTTTTGAAGGGAACCTATCACTGCTGGAACTTTCTTTTCCTTTTTCGCCGGGGGGTGTAAAGCAAGCAGAAGCGACCCTTATTCAACAGCCTGAAGCCCAGCTCCTTGTGTGTAGCAAATCCGGTTTGGATTTGAATGCAAAAGATTACCAAAACCAAGGACTAACAGTACTAGCAGGGGAAAGAACCGGAGAAAACAAAAGCAACAACACCCACAAAAACACACACACACAGACACACACACACACACACACACACACACACACACACACACACACACACACACACACACACACACACACACACACACACACACACGCACGCACGCACGCACGCACGCACGCACGCACGCACGCACGCACGCACGCACGCACGCACGCACGCACACACACACACACACACACACACACACACACACACACACACACACACACACACACACACACACACACACACACACACACACACACACACACACACACACACCAAGCGCATCCAACCGGATGGCGCGTTTTGTGCTTGGAGACTCGCTCCAGGCAGATGCGCAGCGGGGGCGCGGTGGTCACGGTGCGTCTCAAAGGCCCCCCGGATGCGCGAAAGCCGCTGGCGCCGAAACCGGTTCGCTCGGACGTGTGGGTGGCTCTTTGGGGGAAGACCCATGTGTCTGTTTTGTTGGTTTTTACAGGAAGCCAAGCAGAACCAAGAAGAAACCCATTCCGTTTTTGTTTTTTTTTGGGGGGGAGGAGGGGTGCGCTTAAAAAAGACGCGAGGCATCACTGCTCTTGGCATGGTTTAGCTTTTTGGTTGTTTGGTTCTGTTCACTTGTTTTGTGGGGGCTGCAAAACGAAGCTGTTGTTTGTGTTTGCTACCGTACCAAGGGTTGGAAAGAAAGGTTTCCGGTTGTCCGAGGTTGCCGGCAGGTCTTTTTGCCAAACCAAACCAGCTCAGGCTGCTGAGTGCTTTTGGTTTCCCTGCAAAACCCTTCTAATTAAAAGAGAGTTCTCCGTCAACGAGAACCGGGGCCCACTTCTCCAGCATCAGAGTCCAGTCATAAGATGGGGGGCATGATACATCAGGTAAGTAGCAACCATGGTCATAAGCCGGAGCGTACCCATGGTTTCTACTCGACGACCTAGCCTGCTTGCAGGCTCTGCGGATTCGGAGTCCGACCTGGAGTTGATGAGAAGGTGGGAGCTACCGTTGGTCTACGTTCGCCCTTCAAAGCCTGCTGAACATCAGGGAGGTCTCCAAGTTTAAGAAGCATACTTATTTCTTGGCTTTGTGCAACGTGTCCAAAACAGGATTGTTAGCCAAGCTTGACGCATCCGCAGAAAACCAGGAGTTCATATGGGGGGTGTCCTAGCACCCACCTCTTGATGTTTTAAGGGAAGGCCAGAAGCAAACAAACTAACCATTTTACCGGCGCTTTAGCTTTGGAAGTTCGAGTTCTGAATGTCGCACGCCATCCCTTGGATACGTTTCGGGTTGCCTGCACTACTGTAGTGGCCTTTGGGTTCCTTAACTCAACCAGGGCCTGATTGTTCAAAACAAGTGTTCCTTCTTTGAGGCTACTGCGAGTATCAAGGGAAACCAAAAATGGACCACCCACCATTTCGACTTTAGATCCCCTTCTTTTGACGCGCAAAGGTTGCCCAGGCTTCGTTGAAACCGACGAAAAACGGCCAAAAAACGCGGGTGCTGAGGGAGGGCGGGGGGGGGGGATTTCCTCAGGTTCTTCGGCCGCCTGCAGATCTGGGTCCTTGCAGAATCCTTGGGCGGCGTGGAGCGCCCTGGCAGATTTTTTGCAGGGGGAAGGGGGAGTTCGACCTGTGGAAATCTCCATGACTGAATAAATGGAATTGTGGGACCCCCCACCCTTCTCCCCCTTAAGGTAGGGGGGATATCTCAATGTATGTCAACCCATTTTGGGAAGACGAGAGCGGCGTAAGGTTAACATTGGATTGGTCAAAAGGACCCAGTCAGGGGAACACCCCTTAGATCATATCCCAAAAGGCTGAACGTGTTGTACTCCGGATGAACCCGAGTCAGCATCATGAGGATTCCATGCTGTGACTAATGTCGACCCTGCTCAAAAAGCCCATCCAATTATCCAAAGAGGAGCGGGGGCGGTTGCTCCAAAAGTGCTGCACTCCACGCAAAAAGGGGACAGCGGGCGCCAATCAAGCAGGGGCTCTTCTAATTCCGGGGTTAACATTTTTTGGAGGTAGATCAAATCGGCTTCTACATTTCGGAGAAGCGATCGGATCTATGTTCAGGTGCCAGACTCAACTCACCCTACGTTGCCTTTCGGGTTCCTTCACGTTCCCTTGTAACCAGCACGTTTGTCCAAGGGCAATCTCCTGGGTGGCCCCAGCAAAAGGGGGGATGCGACCTTTGGGAAAGAATCCTCATATCAGTCAGGTGGATGACTCTATCTCACTCGTACATGGCGATTTCACGGATTCGGAGGGGGGTAGATTCTACATGATGTGATTTCACACATGATGTGCCAGGCCTATGGGATCGCTTCGAACAATTGGCTGCCCCCAAAGGGATGTCCTGAACCATTGGATGGTTCCAGTGCTTCCAGTTTTCATGACTAACCAGGTTTTACTTGCCAGGAAAAGCGCCAAACCAATCAAAAAACCCCAACCCCACTGGCTGAGGCCGCTTTTTTAAAGGCTCTGTCCATTCTTCATGACTTGGGACGGGATCAACAATTTCCAGCCTGCCAAATCCGTTTGGACCCAAACAAAACAAACACTCGAATCCCAGAAGCCCAACCGGGCCCGGCCGAACCCAACCCAGGCAAACCCTTACCTCTCCAAGGGTCACTGAGCAACCGGGTGTTTGACGTTTCTCTCAAGCGGTGGGATTGTGCCGCAAGTTTGCGGGTTCCGAAGACAGATTCCTATAGGATAGGTGGATTCCTGAAATACGGTTCCATGTTGCAACTGTGCGGGGTATTTTATTCAACATGGCAGGGTCACATTTGCTAGCTTTGGAATTTCGGATGCATGTTCTTTATCGCACTTGTTGGTTGGGTCTTTGGACTTTAAGTCTTGGGTTGAAACAGATCGGATTTTCCGTTGGACCCACGAAAAGGCTAACACTTGCAGAGGGGTCTTGCCGGTAATCAAGTGCCCAGGAGCATGATCAACCACAGCGCCACCATGTCACACGGCTCGATGACCAAGGACACGATTGCAACCCTTGAGGTCCACACGGGCGGATTGGGTTGCTTTCGTAGCTGGTAGGTGTTCCAATCATTCCACGGGGTTCCCAACGTGGGTTCTGCCTAATAAACTGTGCTGTAGTCTGGTTCAGCAGGTTGTGCAGCACCAAAGCAGTCTACAAAGCCTTTTTGATATGTGCTAGACCAGCCAACGGTAAGGGGAGGCGAAGGGACAGATGTTTATCTGAACATGGGTGAACTCCCCGAACCAGTGGTTTCCCTCCTTTCGTTCCGTTGAAAAGCAAGCCCAAAAGTGTACCCTCGCAAAGAGCTCGACACAACTACATGTTGTTTTTCAGGCGTTGTCCACCGCAAGTTTCAACACCAGAGCATCCCTCAGGATACATTGGTGCATTTTGCTTGGATGTTAGGACTTTAACTTTTCGCCAACTAATGGGTTTTTCGTATTAAACCACCAAAAGTTACAAGCTTTTAGCAGGGTATCAGAAAGCAACCGAGGATGGTTCACTCACCGCCCCGCCCTCAATTTAGAGCTCGGCGCAGGAGCAGCGGGCGGAGGTGGGGGTCTACGACACCACCCTGCGCCTCTCTGTGGGTCTGGAGGCACCAAACAGAAATGGCTGTGGGTCAAAACCAATGGTACCATTTTGGGGTAGGTGCACCACCCATTTTGGAACCTATCTTAGTGGTTGGATTGGGATGTGCGCTGACGGTTTGGAGTTTTTGACTCATGGCCAAATGCGTGATGCCAGGTGAGGTTGGGTCCATTTGTTGATTTGTCCAATGGGAACCCCGGATGAAGCGGAACCCCTGGTTGATTCTGATAGGTAATTTTGCGGTTGATCATTTTTGCTTGTTGATGGTTCGCGGGGGGGTTGGTTCATCACTTTTGAAGAAACACACCCTCTAGTAAGCGGGCGGGTTTATTCATCCGGGGGTCCACATTGTGGCCCCTCACGAAATGCCAGGGGACTAGCCACCCAGAGAGTTGCTCAAAATCACTTGTGAAGGGCATACGAAAGGGAGATCAATCATTTTAGGGGACCACGATTTTGAGAACCAGACAGTAGGTTTCCAAGGGAACCACCCCAAGTCTAACATTTGAAGGTGGCAGCTAGTGCACAATCCATTCATCTGTTTGTGGTCCATTTGGAAGGAAGGATTGGGGGGAATTCACTAAATTTCCAACATGTCCTCTTGGAGCAAGCATTATTGACCCTATGTAATTTTCCTATATAGATACATATAGATATTCAGGGGAGCCACCCTTGTTTATCTTAAAGGAACATGACTGCGTAGCTAACCCAGGGGTTGCCACCAGCCTTTAAACCGGATGGCTGGCTACTTTGTATCTGAGATCCATTGGGCAGGTTGGGGGGGGGGGAGCGGACGAGTTGGGATCTTCGACCATTTCCCTTTGAAAGACAGCCAGAAAGGCTAGCCTGGGCGCACCCAAATATTGCGGGCAGCGACCGTTCGTCCAGGTCGCGCCTGCGTTTCAGGGGATTTTCTGCACTTCGTTGTATTGTGAAAGTGGGATCTACCCGGGGTCTCCCTAAACATGGGGTCGTGACCCCTGTTGGGTAGATGAACAACCATTGTGAAGACGGGTCCTTAGGGAGACGAAAAAAGGTGCATGCATTGCTCAAACAAGTGCAAATCTCATTGTCCAAGGATAGGCGGACGATGTTGCTGGGATTTGGAAGCCTTCCAACTTTGAGACATGTCGAGCATGGGGGCTTTGTGACCAGGGTATCGGTCTTGAGCATAGGTGCGTATCTGCTTGGTAAGCCCCTGGGTTGCTGCTGATACTGGTATGTTATTTTATTTCATGTATGGTTGAAGGCGAAACAAGAGGAACCCACCCATTTTAGGGGAGCCCTACTTTGGAACCCTCCCCCCTCCCAGACGGGGCTTCATGTCGAGCTCCGGTAGGACATCGACGACTTGCTGGCGGATCTCGAGCACGCCCTCTCCTGACGAGCGCTTGCCGACTGGCGCGTGCACTGCACCACTGATCCGCGCGTCAGCTGAAAGGGTCTCAGGGCTGCAAGCGCTACAAGGCTGCGGTGTGTCTCAAAACTTTGGATTTGGACCCTCCAAAATGGCGCAACGGGTTTCCAACGTTGGTTTCCCTGGAGCAAGTTACACCAGAGATTTCAGAGGGCGAAACACATGCCAATGATTGGACAGCACCTCTAACGCACCCCCCGAAGAATGCCCCAAACAGCAACCGCTGGGCAATCTCGCAAAAAATGCGCCCGCACTGTCACTAGCACCTCCAACAGCACCCCAAACAGCGACTACACCAGCACCCCAAATTGCACGCCCCCTAGCACCAGCCCGTCAATCTCGCAAACTGTTTTTCCCCTCTTTATTGGAGTTAGAATCCCTGTAGCTTTCGGCTATTTGGAACTCCAAACAAAAGACCCAGATTTGTCCTCGACGATTATACGGGGATGCCCCTGAAGCGAAATGTGCATTATGGCTTTAACTAGTTTTCCCGCCGAATTGACTCCTTTCTTTTCTAGCGCGGTCGACGTATTCCAGCGTGGCGGGTCAAAAAGCTCGCGTGCGAATTTGCTTTGGCTGCGTGACTTTAAAGGAGGGCCTTTTTAAAGTGGGACGAAATCTCAGGGGAAGCCCTGAGCCCACAGCAACCCGCCCAAAAACATGGCATTGGACTGAGGGCTTCGGGGGATTCGGAGATGTTCCGCTGCCTGGGAAGCCTATGGCGCATCTGAGCCCGGAAGATGCACCAAAAACCCACCAGGCATGGAAGGCGCGCTTTGCGCGCGAAAACGCGCGCAGCGCAGGGACAATCCCAAAAAGGAACCTGGAAAACAGGGGCCAAGTAGTGTTCTACTAGTTTGCCACAACTAGGTCCCCCAGTAGTTCCCTTTTACCCTTTTTTGGGGGAGGGTTGCCCTATAGACTACAGAAAAAAGCGGGTACCCTTATTCTATCCTCTCAAATCTGGAGGACCTAGACAATCACAACTATTGCTTTAACGTCCACAACCCCATGGAGAATTCTGGCCCTTGCACCGTTGGGGTTCCAAGGGTCCTCTAACCCAAGGTGCCAGAATGAGAGGGAAAAGAATCCGCCATTAGCGGAATGGTTCAGTAGTTTTGTAGTCTCACTTTCATGAGTTCCCGGACTTTGTGTTATTTTTTTTTTCGGAAGACCATTTTAGTGGCAAACAATCGTTTGGACTATTTTTGGCCAACTCAGGAAGTGGTGAGTGGCATCTCTTTGGCTTTTACTTGTCTGCAAAGAAACATGTTTGCCAACATGTACGCAGATGTTTTGGAAAGGGCGACTATGGCCATTCGCCGTTGGTGTTTGGCGTCCATCGGGTCCGGAGTCGGGTGATGTTTGCAGTTTTGACCCTCAACGCCTCCTAGTGGTGTGCCCATGGGTGCGCTTAGGTCGGGTGATGGGTTTTATGAACCGTTTACCAGGACCATCTATTTGTGCGAAAGGTCACCTATGGGCGTGCCCCGACACCGAAGACCGTTTTTCTAACAATTCAAAATGGGCGGGCATCGAGCCCAACAATGGCGCGCTGTAAATCAGAAATCTACTTGGAGCATCCATGACCCGTTTCAAACATGGTTGGTCATCTACCCAAAACAATTCGTCGTGACCCCATTGTTTTAGCGGGCCAGAAGGAGACTCCAGGTACAGACTTTTCCTGGCTTGTCGATGATGAAAACCTCACGTGTCCGCAAGCCAACCCGCTTGAACAGTGGGCCTTTAGGTCCAGATCTTCAATGAGATCTTGGTGAACGCCATCGACCGGCAGTACTACAGTGCGCCAAGAAGAGCCGAGTGCCGCAAGAACAGGAAATCAGCCTATGGTATTCTACGGCAAGCTCATTTGAGGGGTATGTCAGAGCATGCAGGTCCTGAAATTGGGGAGTCCATGGCTTTTTTCGAGCTTGCAATATGATTGTAACATATGCACCGCCCAGCTCGGGCTTCAAGCACCTACCTGGAGTCTCCATGACCCTTTAAAGGTCCATGACCCCTTTGTTTTGGGTAATGACCCCATTTTTAAAGGGTCATGGAGACTCCAGGTATGGTTTTGCTGTGCATTGTGCGTGGTTCGCATCAAACCCGATCTCCGGGCTCCACATGTCTCGTCTCGTTTGCCCGGGCTGCTCGGGCTGCGGGTTCGTGTTCCGGCGCGCGGCCTTCTGGCAGGTTCCATGTCGGAGATCCGAGTGGAAGTGGACCGCAAGGCCTGGATCGGGGTGAAAAGTGGTGGGAGATGAAGCTCAAGTGATGTCAAAACAGGATCCTCAAATAAAGATCGCCCAGATAGTATTGTGCTTCTTGGGCATGATGTATATCCTTCCTTGAGGCTCGCTTTTTTTTGGTTGATGGTTGAGTTTGAAGGCTGCTATTTTTTTGGTTGCTTGTTGGTTGTAATGCTCAGTTCCAAGATGTCAAGGGGCACCTGACGTTCTCATGTCCTGCGGGTGTTCCTGCCATCCAAACGGGGTGCTGTGAGGGTCCGCTTTTTTCAGCTTGTTTGAAGGGGAAACTAAAAAGGAAACCGCCAAACCCGAATGGGGGCTATGGGCTGTGTGTCCCTTAAGCCTGTAAGCTAAGGATAAGCCCAGCCTCAAGCCTTATTGCAGCAAGGGTTTCATGGATGATACTGTGGATGGACGAAATCCTGCACCACCTAAGAAACCCTGGAATGATGATTCCCCTGTAAATATCAACAAACAATGGATTCCCATGGTTTCAAAGTGGTGCAAGATTTTGTCCATCCACAGTAGCTCCCCATCCAGTCAGCATGAAGACCGGCCGCCTTTCTGGGGTTGGCTCTCCGAATCCGCTCGGCTGTACGCACTTTGCTTGAGCAATGGCCATCCCTGGAGTTTTGGCCGTTGAGATCGGAGTTCGGGGCTCGGATTTGGGGATTCGAATCTTCTCAGGGTCGAAAATGAATCTGGACGCGCTTCTGTGACTTTTGCACCGTTGAGATGGGTGATTCTATGACCGCAGGCGGTTTTTCATTGGTTTTACTCACATTGCAAGTGTCCAAAGGCTGCAAACCCCAGTAGGGAGCCCATCTTTGGATGAAGCAGCAAAGGGATAAAAGGACGCCAACCCCTTGTTGGCTTGTTGTTTGGAGATTTCCAAATAGAATGCCCCCTCCTCCTAAGAATGGAAATCCTTTCGTTTGGGGGACTTTTGTGGTGGCAAGACCAGAAGGACAACCACAATAACGGCTTTTCTTTCTGAAGGATTTGAACCCTCTCCCCACCGCGCTTCCTCATCGCTCGAGGAGGGTGTCATCAGCGTGTGGAACAACGGCGGGGCCATACCGGTGGCAGTCCACAAGCGGGACACTAAGACTGGCCTCCAGTTTGGTTGCCGTTTCGGGTGAAACAAAAAAGAGCCCCTGAAAGTAAGTGTGAGAGCCTAAGTTAATTCGGGGGTCCCAAGAGTCCTTTGTTTTTTGCGGGGCTTTCGTTTGAACCACTTGGGAGGCAATTCGGACGTCCCTTTCACGGACCAGTGGGGTTGAATGAATCGAGGGGCACCAACCCCATTTCAGGTTCCAGGAGGCCTTTGAAGGTGGGGTCACGACCCCTTTTGGGTAGATGACCATGTGTAAAGGGTCAGAAGGAGACTTCATTTAAAACGTGCTCCAACTGATTTCAAGGACAATGTGACTCAGCCTGAGCTACAAGTGGGTCATGCCAAGAGGGAGGCATGCACATTTCTCCAGGTCGACTCAAACGGTCCGCGTTTGCGACGGTCAACCATCCACCACCCCTTGATTGGAGGTTACCTTGTCTACCATGAAAGAACATCACAAAAAATAATTAGATTCCCCCGCCAACCACGGCTTTGTTTCGGTTCTCAACAGAAACCCTTTAGGATCAGGTGATTTGGCAGTCTCCGAGTTCAAGCTTGGATTTATGTTCGAATGCACCCATTCTTGATTGTGGGAAGCCCCTTTGGAAGGGTACCAGTACTGCTGGAGGATCCAAATTCCTCAAGGGACCCGGCCCGTTTGAGGTGCCATTCACTGGGAGGGGCATTCAACTTTCTAAGATGATCTTGGAGGTTGGTGGTTGGCAACCCCCAAGTTCCTTATAGGTATGGTTACTCAGCAATTCGCTAAACGCAAGACAATCTATGTGGGTGTGAATTGTAATGGGGCACCCTTTGGTGGACATTATTTAGGTGGGGATTCGTGTCCAACTTTTTGAGATGGCGCCTCCTTGAGTTTCATAGCTATCTATGAACCAAATGAAGCGAATGGATCCATCCGGCTGAGTCGAACGAACCAAGCATGGACCAATGTTAGGCTTGTCTGGAGTCACCCCGAGACCATCCAGTGAACTAAGAAGAACTTATCTGGAATGGCCAAATGTTTGGCCAATTTTGGCCAACATTGGCCAATTTGTTGCCATGTGGCCATGGTTCAAATCCAATGGTACCATTTTGGGATAGGTGCACCACCCATGTTAGAACCTTTTTTAGTGGGGATTGGGATGTTCACTGGGGGTACGGGGTTTTGACCCATGGCCATTTGTTCTGAGGTCGGGCCTCTATGCCAGTACCTCGGGGGCTGCAGGGAGTGGCCTCGGTTGCTTGCCTGGCCTTGAATCAAGGGATATACCTACAAGCAAAGCAAATGATCAAAGTGCGAGCTTCGAATCTTATTGGACAAGTCGAAGGGGGGTCCATGACTCGGTAAAATTCGTCGTTTGCTGGACCTTGACTTCCACTATCTGTTTGAAAATCGAGCTTGCCCTGGATAATGTAATTGTATTCTGATCTATCTGCGTGAATCACATGATTTCGAAGGTATCTAGGTTATTGTTTATTCAGGGTTTGGGGGCTGCAAAGTTCCCTCTGAGTGTGCATGGCACCTCCCCCCTTTGCCAGCGGCCAGCGGGATACCGGGGTTGTCACACACCCAGTTGCCCGGTGGCGCCCTTGTTTCACCTATTTTTGGGAATGTTGTCCCTCTAAATCAACAAGCCCAATCTATAATATCAGCCAGCAAGATGTGTGGGTGTTTTTTTTTATTTTTATTTTTTAATGCGGGAGGCGGTGTCCCCATTGACATCAAAAAGAAAAAACGGCATTGCAAACCCAAAAAAAAAAAACGCACGCCCCCTGCAACCCCCCCCCCCCCCCGAAAAGTCGGGAAGTCGGTCGTTAAACCCCAAAAACGACACCCCCCCCCCCGTTTTGAGTCGGGAAGTCAGCTCCTTTTTTGCCCGCAAAAAGTTCCGACGAGGTGCCCACGATGGTCTTCGGGGAGTTCATGAGCGGCTCGAACTTCGACGACTCCGGGGCGCGGAGAGACGGAGCTCTGGGGAAGGAGATGGGTCGAATTTGGGGAAACTGGGGTCGCAAGAAATGTGAGAAGGTTCCCCAGCTAGGTGCCGACTTGTACCGTTTCTTGTCTGGGGGAGGGTTTCCCTACTAAAATCGGCTACAGAAAAAAAAGCTGGTACCCTTGTTCTAACCTCTCTACTGGAGGACGTAGGTGTTCATAAGGCCGAAATATGAAGGATCATCTAAAAGTGTTGGTCGATATATGAAGTCGAGAATCTGCCAATCTTGTTTTTGGTGTACGGCCAAGGAAATATCAGCCATTGGTCTCAGGCTTCAGCTTCCTCTGAAAGAGGCGTCCAGCAACTCCTGTGGATTGTGTTGTACAGGCATAGGGGTATGAATTGCCAGGAGGGGACTGATGACTTGTTGCCCAGGCCTTGTTCAACACTGCGGCGAAGGTATTTAGGAACATGTGTGGATTAGGAGGAGCTTGTAAACTAGGTTACGCCCTGTTTGATCAGTGCCGCCTTTGAAAGGGGGTCCACAGTAGATCAGTTAATAATTACACGAGTCGTCAGTAGTATTGGGCTGACCGTGGAGAAGAGCAATCTGTTTGCATCAAACATAGCGAGCTTGCCAAGTAGCTCAGCCTATGAAGGAGGGCCTTGTAGTGGTCACGTGATCTTTATCCCAGCTTGTTTCTGTCAAAGAGGGTTTTACACTGCTTTCAAGTTACCAACCCCAACGGAACGGGAGAAGTGTAAAACAAGGGAGTTCCTGCAAGTCTGCATGCGCTGGACCTTGGGGATTGCCGGATGTAAAGTTTACGTGTTGCTTCTTTGCATCACGCAGAGCTGCATCCGTTTTAGGACACATGCTTGCCCTCAGTTTGTCCGAGCTGGAAAAATGTGAGTGTCCATGTCCTTTTCTTTTCTGTCTTCAATTTGTTTGAGGGTATCCTATTTCGAGCCATACAAGGGAACACCACACCATTTCGGGGTCTGTGTTGACACGGGCCTTTTTAGCTGATTGTTGTTGTTGTTTTTTTGGTGTGTGGGGGGGGGGGGTGTTTTTTTAGTTGTTTGCTTCTTTTTTTTTGGTTGGGGGGGTGGGGGGTGGGGTGGTAAAGGCGGACAGGCATACCAAAACAACCCGCCGGTCGCTCCGGAGCCAGGTGCGGTTCACCGGCGGCCGCAACGGCGTGGGGGCCAAGGCCACCAACGTCTTCAGCTCCTTCTTCGAGGCAGCGGGCAGCGGTTCGCCTTCGCGAGAAATCCGGGGGTGTCATCTGACTCGTTTTTTCGGGTTTCCCTGGAAACTCGGTTGGTGAAACGGGTGCACTCCACTAGGGCAAAGGGAAGCCACATGTCGTGCAGCTTGCTTGCAACTTGTTGGGTAATTAGTTGGCGTACAAAAATGGATGGCATCCCCTGGAATTTAATTGGGGTTTATTCCATTCAGGGCCATGTGTTTTTTCCAAAAGGCCACCTATGCTTGCAACAGCGCAGGAACATGGACAGGCGGCTGTTTCAGACTATCCTATCCTGCGAAGAGACCTCCGCTGCATGGAAAAAAACCACGAACAGCTGCAGTTTGTTTGCAGGGAGGCAATGTGCAAATTCGCCGTTTGCTTGCATGATGCTGCCTGAGCTCCTGTATGGGCGTTGGTATATTGTTTTGGTATTAGTATTTCTCAATGGAAGAATCTATGAATTTGGTAGCAACAGATAGTGCATGTTTAGTGTTGGACATATTTTAGTGTTGCAATAAATCCGCAACCCACCAAGTTCTTAGCACGGTCCGGGCTATGATCTGTGGTGAACCTTGAAAAGGGGGGCCTTGTTACTTTATTCGTGCGATAAAAAGGCAAGTGGCCGGAAGCCGGCGCGTCCATGAAGGCGCAAGTTGGACTGAAGAAGCACCCGACAAAGTTTTCTTCAACCTTTGCCTTGGACGTAGCTGGTAGGTTGAAGCCTAGACCATTTGGGGTGGCGACGTCTTGCAAACCATGGTGTAGGTTCCGTATATGGGTGTGGCTCAAAATTAAACAGGAGGGGTTACGCAGGTTTTGGTCCATGGTTCCACTTACCAGGGTTCCATTTTGGTGCCGGTTTTTTGAGCCACAGCCATATCTTCGGAGCAAAGACCATCAGCAGATCTCCTTGATCCCCTTTCGAGAAGGTCAAGCTATTTCAGGATGGGTTTCCATTCTTTTCACTTCGACAAAACAAGAAGTGAAGGTTTAAGGGGTTGTCTTCACTTCTTCAACTAGGTCCCCCAGTAGTGCCCTGTTATCCTTCTTGGCGGGAGGGTTCCCCTACTAAAATAGACAGAAAACAATTCGGGTACCCTCATTCTAACCTCTCTACTGGAGGAGCTAGATTCGTGCAGGTCCCAAGGGGACCTTCTCGGATCCATCGAACCCCTGAGTTGCCGGACATGGGCGCACGCCTTGAACTCCGCATCAGGATTTCGATCCCGCGGCCCTGCGGCGCGGCCGAAACAAAACAAAGCCAATCCCCCCGAACCCCACAAAAAAAAAAAAAAACACCCAACGAAGGCATGCTGAGAGAGGCTCACAAGGCACCAGAGTTGCAGGACGTCATTTTGACCGAGATGCACCTTTGAGACGTCAGTCTTGTGAGGCATGTGACTCCGGGAAGAATCGAGCCCCATGTAGCGGCCAAGTCTTTCTGGCTCCAGTCTCAGGGCCGCAGGCTCAGGATTGATCTTTTGAGGCCGCAACTCATGTTGGGCCGTTCGTCCGCTCATGCTGCCTGGGTCCGGGTTGCGCACCCATTTCAACAGGCCCGTTGGATGGGCACAGGCCAAGGAGCCTTGACTGCTCTTGGGTTGGATCTTTAGACTTTAGCTTTTCGGGAAATCCGTAAATTTCCCCTAAACCCTTCCCAAAAGTGAAACTGTTTGCATGGGGATCAACAGCAACCAAGGAGCTGTGCCCATTCGCAAGGTCACGGTGGTGGGCGCGGGGACGCTCGGCTCCCAGGTCGCCTTTCAGACGGCGCTCCGGGGCTTCGAAGTGGCGGTGCTGGACACGCAGAGCGCGAGCCTCAGCCGCTGCCAGACGATGCACGAGGCCTTCGCAGAGCAGTACCTCAGGCGGGAAACGCAGGGGACGCAGGCGCGCGCCTGGAAGGGCCTGGCCAGCGGCTCCACGGCGGAGGAGGTGGCAAAGGCGGCCTTGGCGCGGCTGGTGTACACCACAGACACCGCCGAGGCCATGCACGGCAGCGACCTGATCAGCGAGAACGTGCCGGAAGTCATAGAGATCAAAGAGGCGACCTATGGGGCCCTCAGCGCGCACGCAGCGCCCGAGACGATCTTCACCAGCAACTCCAGCACGTTGCTGCCCAGTCAATTTGCCGACGCCACTGGCCGGCCGGAGCGCTTCTGCGCGTTGCATTTCGCTAACGGAATTTGGGATGCCAACATCGGCGAAGTCATGGGCCACCCAGGCACAAAGCCAGAGGTATTTGAACGAGTGGTGCGGTTTGCCGAGGAGATCGGCATGGTCCCCATCCGCTGCGCCAAGGAGCAAAATGGCTACGTCATCAACACCTTGCTGCTGCCATGGCTGAATGCTGCGCAGACGCTGGTCACCAATGGGGTTTGTGCCCAGGAGGATGTAGATAGAGCTTGGTTGATTTGCTTTGGCCTTGCGCATGGTGATAAGGGGCCACTTGGCATCATGGACATGATCGGTTTGGGGACGATGGAGACGGTTCTCGCCCATTGGGGTGAAACTCTGCCCGATGCCCAGATGACTGCAAACGCCGCCCACATCAAGAGTCATCTGGTAGACAGGGGCCACTTGGGGTTGAGGGGGGGCGACCCGGACAAGGACGAAGCAACCGGCTTCTACAGCTACCCGAACCCGGCGTGGAAGCACAGTGACTTCCTAGAAAGTCAGGAGAGAGCCGGTTCCAAGTAAAGATCTAAAGGGATCTGTTTTTGGTGTTTCAATGTTTCAAAGAATGAGCTATGAAGCACAGGCCATGCTAACGGGCAAGTTGTACAGGTTTGCCCAGTCTCAGATTGGGCAGTAGAATCTCATTATTTATTAGGGATTATAGAAAGGGATGTGTTTTGAGACACTCCCATATTACGGCGCCGTTTCGTTTTCACAAAGGATCGAAAAGGCATGGCGCGTGCTTCGAACAGTTTGATTTTCGAAAATGGGTCGCTGCAGTTTCGGGAGGCTTGGACGGAACTTTAGCCTTGAACTTTGGGACGCCAAGTTGTGATGTTCAAGGCAAAGCATTCAAAAGATGGTAAGTCCCAGGCGGCAGTTGCAGAATTGATATCGAAGAGCCGTCTCGGGGAGCAACTCCGCTCTCTTGATGAATGTTCCTTGGAGCGGTTGCTTCCATTTGCAGAGGGCCCATCGAGCAGTGTCCTCGCAACATGTGTGGGGTCCTTTTCACATGACTTGGTGGCTCTCAGCCATCCACTTAGCTTCTTAGCCTTTTAGTGTTTAGTGGCGGTTTTCATGTGACCCACTAAAAGTTATACTTTAGAGCCTCCGGCTCAGTCCGCCGACATTGTCCTCTCCCTTTTCTCCTTCTTCCTCTCTTCCTTGTCTCCCTTGTGTGTTCTGTCGTCCTCTCTCCCTCCCTCTGCTCCCATCCCCATCCCCCCAAGCCTCTCTCTCCCCAATCCCCCTCTCTCGTATGTATGCATGCATGTACATATGTATGTATGTATGTAATGTATGTATGTATGTATGTATGTATGTATGTATGTATGTATGTATGTATGTATGTATGTATGTATGTATGTATGTATGTAATGTATGTATGTATGTATGTATGTATGTATGTATGTATGTATGTATGTATGTATGTATGTATGTATGTATGTATGTATGTATGTATGTATGTATGTATGTATGTATGTATGTATGTATGTATGTATGTATGTATGTATGTATGTATGTATGTATGTATGTATGTATGTATGTATGTATGTATGTATGTATGTATGTATGTATGTATGTATGTATGTATGTATGTATGTATGTATGTATGTATGTATGTATGTATGTATGTATGTAATGTATGTAATGTAATGTAATGTAATGTAATGTAATGTAATGTAATGTAATGTATGTAATGTATGTATGTATGTATGTATGTATGTATGTATGTATGTATGTATGTATGTATGTATATGTATGTATGTATGTATGTATGTATGTATGTATGTATGTATGTATGTATGTATGTATGTATGTATGTATGTATGTATGTATGTATGTATGTATGTATGTATGTATGTATGTATGTATGTATGTATGTATGTATGTATGTATGTATGTATGTATGTATGTATGTATGTATGTATGTATGTAATGTATGTATGTATGTATGTATGTATGTATGTATGTATGTATGTATGTATGTATGTATGTATGTATGTATGTATGTATGTATGTATGTATGTATGTATGTATGTATGTATGTATGTATGTATGTATGTATGTATGTATGTATGTATGTATGTATGTATGTATGTATGTATGTATGTAATGTATGTAATGTATGTATGTATGTATGTATGTATGTATGTATGTATGTATGTATGTATGTATGTATGTATGTATGTATGTATGTATGTATGTATGTATGTATGTATGTATGTATGTATGTATGTATGTATGTATGTATGTATGTATGTATGTATGTATGTATGTATGTATGTATGTATGTATGTATGTATGTATGTATGTGTGTATGTATGTATGTAATGTAATGTAATGTAATGTAATGTAATGTATGTAATGTATGTATGTATGTATGTATGTATGTATGTATGTATGTATGTATGTATGTATGTATGTATGTATGTATGTATGTATGTATGTATGTATGTATGTATGTATGTATGTATGTATGTATGTATGTATGTATGTATGTATGTATGTATGTATGTATGTATGTATGTATGTATGTATGTATGTATGTATGTATGTATGTATGTATGTATGTATGTATGTATGTATGTATATGTATGTATGTATGTATGTATGTATGTATGTATGTATGTATGTATGTATGTATGTATGTATGTATGTATGTATGTATGTATGTATGTATGTATGTATGTATGTATGTATGTATGTATGTATGTATGTATGTATGTATGTATGTATGTATGTATGTATGTATGTATGTATGTATGTATGTATGTATGTATGTATGTATGTATGTATGTATGTATGTATGTATGTATGTATGTATGTATGTATGTATGTATGTATGTATGTATGTATGTATGTATGTATGTATGTATGTATGTATGTATGTATGTATGTATGTATGTATGTATGTATGTATGTATGTATGTATGTATGTATGTATGTATGTATGTATGTATGTATGTATGTATGTATGTATGTATGTATGTATGTATGTATGTATGTATGTATGTATGTATGTATGTATGTATGTATGTATGTATGTATGTATGTGTATGTATGTATGTGTATGTATGTATGTATGTATGTATGTATGTATGTATGTATGTATGTATGTATGTATGTATGTATGTATGTATGTATGTATGTATGTATGTATGTATGTATGTATGTATGTATGTATGTATGTATGTATGTATGTATGTATGTATGTATGTATGTATGTATGTATGTATGTAATGTATGTATGTATGTATGTATGTATGTATGTATGTATGTATGTATGTATGTATGTATGTATGTATGTATGTATGTATGTATGTATGTATGTATGTATATGTATGTATGTATGTATGTATGTATGTATGTATGTATGTATGTATGTATGTATGTATGTATGTATGTATGTATGTATGTATGTATGTATGTATGTATGTATGTATGTATGTATGTATGTATGTATGTATGTATGTATGTATGTATGTATGTATGTATGTATGTATGTATGTATGTATGTATGTATGTATGTATGTATGTATGTATGTATGTATGTATGTATGTATGTATGTATGTATGTATGTATGTATGTATGTATGTATGTATGTATGTATGTATGTATGTAATGTAATGTATGTATGTATGTATGTAATGTAATGTATGTATGTATGTATGTATGTATGTATGTATGTATGTATGTATGTATGTATGTATGTATGTATGTATGTATGTAAATGGAATGTAATGTAATGGAATGGAATGAATGGAATGGAATGGAATGGAATGGAATGGAATGTATGTATCCTTGCACTTCCCCTTTGCTCCCGAGTATTTCCCGCAAAAAAACACGGTTTTTCCAGCGTTTTCGCAAAGAGGACGTCCAAAAACATTGAGTTTTTTTCAGATTTTCGGCAAAAGGATACAAAAAAGCCGGCAGGGGGAATCGAGCCTGGGACCCCTGTTTTGCGCCCCCCCCCCCCAAAAAAAAAAAAAAACCTACGTAATAGACGTCGGGCGGGGGGGGGGTTAGGGGGGGGGGTTATCCTCTATCCTCTAGTAAGTATCCGACACGCCGAGCAATGTCGGCGGACTTTTAGCGGGGGATCTGAGGGAAGCCCAGATGAAGCAACCAAAAAAAGAGTGTCCTTCGTTCCCCCTGGCGACTGGCAGGTCCGATGTGGATTTTGGTTTTCATGTTTCCTGTGAGGTTTGAAGATGGAAGCCTTACGAGTGTTGGAAACATTGAAGATATTGATCCAACAAATCTGGTAGCAAGCTTTACTCAAGCGCTCATCGTGGTTCGGTTGCCCCTCAAACCAGCGGGTTCTCCCGATGAGCACTCCTGCCAGAGATGGGTGTGTCATGCACCAAGGCATCGATCCACATTCTCGCTGGAATGGTATTGTTTCATGGGAGGTTCCTTTCAAACCATCCAAAAGGAAACATCAAATAAAATCCGTTTGAAAGGGATGTTCAAAGGTCTTTTCGGTCGGAACATCCAAGTTTAGTTCGATGGCTTGGGTTTGTTGGTGCCCGCATGTCTGACCGGTCCCAAACTTTGGCTGCGCGGAGTTTTCTCGAGGATGAATGGCTGTCAAGTGGGTTTGTCTTCAAGGAAGCCGGGAAGCCCCAAACCAGTGGTTTTCCATTGGCTTCATTTCAACAGCGACCTCAAAAAAGTTCCATAAAAGCAGACCCGAATGGCTCAAGTGACCTTTGGGCTGAGGTTTGGGCCACTTGACAGTTGGGGGGGAGGCTGCCACAAACGATGCTTTTTTGGGGGGAGAGTCACTCTCAAACTGGCGGCATAACCACGCCTCGTGCGGGTGCTTTGTGTGCGCAGGTCACGGTAGATGACCCAGGCTGGTCGTGCGAGTTGAACCCGTGTGCTGATGTTCTTGGGTTGGCAATCAATTCATATTTGTTTCAAAATTATGTTTCCTTCCGCAACGTTTTGATGTAGTTTGCTCAGCAAAGTTTGCTTGGAGAGAATCATATATCGGATATCTTACGACATCTTGTTTTGCGTTTGTTTTATTATTTCTTTCTTTTTGCTGTGCTAATGTTTTAAATGTTGATGACATTCGTCCAGCAGTAGCTAAACAATTCTCGATAAGGACCTGAGAACCAACCCTAGTGCAAGGGTCACACCTGAGCACGAGCAAGCAAGATCAAGCAACCTTTCATGCAACCAAGTTTCATGAAAGTCCCTTTCATAGATCTTCCTACAACTATTTGCCGAAGAATATGGTTCCCAAGTAGCCCAAGGTGCGGCGGATGAGTACGGCATGGCGAGGTGAAAAACGGAACCGGGGTGTGTGCGAAATGGAGCTCCTGGCGCAGATTTGCGCGCGGGGGAGGAGTTGAACTTGTTTGGTGCATACGAATTATTATATACATGTACTACATAATTATACATATATATATACATATACATATATATATATATCTATGTATATGTTTTGTGCGGTGTTTCTCCAGCAAGCAGTGAATACTGGACTTGACTTGCATTGGCCAGTCCACTCAAGTGAGCAAGTGGTGTCTTCCACTGAGAATAACTCAGTGGTTGGGGCTGAGCTACCATCCCGGCGTGCCCAGACCGGAATTCAGGGAATGGCTGAGTTGAATCCTAGCGCATTGCTGAGATTTTCTCGCAGAAAAAAGCATATGCGGGTGCCATCTCAGAATAGGGCAACTCCGTTTTGGAGAAGCGAGCCAGCAT